GTGTGTGTGTGTGTGTGTGTGTGTGTGTGTGTTACCCTTAATCACCTCCCAGTGACCTCCACTTTCTAATACCATTCTAGTGGGGATTAGGATCTCAGCATATGAACACTGGGGGTGGGGAGGAGACACATTGTTAAAGTCTGTGATGCTTCTGGCTGGCTAGGTTTAGTCTGAAGCTCTCAACAGGAATTTCTGAGCTCTTTACATGCATGGACAGCCATGAATGTGAGGAAGTTTTCTGTAGCCAAGCTGAAGCTTGTTACCCTGGTGACATTTATGCTCAAGTTTAAATCTGGACCAAGCAAGTCTCATCCATTCTTCTCAGCAGGCTCTTCAGGAACTTCTGTAGAGACACAGGTATGGAAACGTATTTAAGCTCAAGATGGGCTGGTTCCAGAAGGCTACCCCTATCAGGAGATGGGTTTGTTTGTAATTCTATTGCTCATTGTATTTGTTTTCCAATTGAGCATGTAAGAGTGTTATAAAGGTAAAAGTCAGAGTCATCCACCCACCCACCCACCCACCCATCCATCCAGCATCCTCCTTAGCTTAATTTGTGCAGAGAAAAGCATCCCTGCTTAGAGTACCCCACCACCATCACAACATCTTTCCTCATGTCACAGCCTGTCCAGCGTCTCTTTAAACATGGGTGTCACACATGGGTCTACCTTACAGATGTGTTTGTCCCACTGGTGAGGAAAGGGGTCAGTCACCTTTATGATGCTTTCAACACAGCTCTGAAGGTGGAGTCAAGACTGCCTTCTTTCATAATTTAATGAGCTGTGTTGGGCACAGTAATTGACATTGAAGATACAGTAGTGCATAAAACAAAGTCTCTGCCTAGTTAGGGAAGCAGACAATAATTAGATAAATGCACTTTTGTAAGAAATATAATAAAGGAAAAGAGACCATAGAGGATGGCTGCATTCAGGAAAGTTGCCGGAAGGGTGTACTTGCAACTGGCAGAGGTGGGAAGGAAGTGAAGGCAGCTCTTCCGGAAGATGCCGATGAGAGAAGATGCAGGGAGTAGATCCATGGGGGACGCTTAGTCAGCACTGGACGGAAGAGAGTGGACTGCAACAGTAGTTTTGTAGCATGAACAGTGGGGACAGCATCTTACTATGTGATCCTGTCTGACCTTAAACTTGCAATGATCCTCCTGTCTCTGCTGCCTGAGATTACAAGTTTTCACCACCATACCTAACGTATTAACTTTCCTTGTGGGTACAGAGTATTTTTAATTTCATAATTTGTTACTTGTTGGCATATTCGCTGAGTGACTGGAGTCCTGTTGAGAAATTCTGTGTGTGTCTGTATGTTTCCCCTGCCTTTTTCTGGTAGCAGTGTCAGAATTTCACATTTAAGATTAAAGTTCTTTGATCCATATGGGGTTTGTTTTTATGAAGGGTGAGAGACAGTGATCTGGTTTCGTTATTCTGTATGCAGATATAGTTTTTGCAATACATATTTTTGTCAACTTTGTCAATAATCGGATGGCTGTGATTATATGCACTTTTATCTCAGGGCCCTCTGTAACTTTCTGCTACTCCATGGTTTGTCTTTGTCTAGTACTGTGGTGGTTTGAATCAGAAGACCCCATAGCTCATATGTTTGAATACTTGGTCCCCAGCTGGTGGAGCTAATTTTTTCCCAGTTCGTGTGGCCTGATTGGAGATAGTGTATCACTGGAGGTGGGATTTGAGGTTTCAAAAGACTCATAAGAAAAAAATGCCAGGTGGTGTTGGTGTACACCTTTAATCCCAGAATTCAGGAGGCAGAGGCAGAGGCAGGCAGATCTCTGAATGTGAGGTCAGCCTGGTCTACAGAGTGAGCTTTCGGTGGAAAAAAGACTCACGAGATCTCTAGTTAGCACTTTCTCAGTCTCCTTCTTGTGGATTCTCAGCTGTCCCTCCACGCTGCCATCATGGACTCTAGCTCTCTGAAACCATAAGCCAAATTAAACACTTTTTTTAATATATAACTTTCTTTGGTTGTTGAAGCAATAGAAAAGTAACTAAGACAATCACTATGCTGCCTTTGTTACTATGGTTCTGCAGTAGAACTTGAAATCAGATATGGTGACACTTAAATATTTTTTATTGCTTCAGCTATTCAGGGTATTTTGTTCCTCTGCATGAGTTTAAGGGTGTGTTGCTTTTGGTAGCACAGCCATTAATTCTCCCAGTTCATTATCATGGGTAGTCTTTCTGTCTTCTGACATCTTCTACAAAGAATCCCCTTAAAATTTTCATTAGGATGCCTCTCACTATTCTAACTTAGGTTCTTTATCTCACTTACTACTATTGTTATTGTTGTCATTGTTATTATTATCTTTGGAGTTAGCCAAGATTTTTTTTGAATATTCATCTAACTTTTAGTAATTTATGTGACTTATAATGTTTTGAATTCTGTTGTTTCAGGTTTTTTTGGTTCTTATTCTAGGACAGGGGTTGGTACAATTTACATTTTGAAAGTTTTAAAAATATAGTATATGAAGTGGGCACCAGGCACACAGGCAGCAACATACATATGGGCAGGCAAAATACCCATACACATAAAATATAAATAAATCTTAAAAAAGAAAACCATGATGTGGATATGGTTTGAGAAATGTTGTCATTATGTGATGTTTACAGGGTATATTTACACAAACCTGGAGGGCATACAGATCAACACTTGAAGCAATCTTGTGACTTGATTGAAGAATGTGATAACCATGAGATGTGTGAGGCTACTGCAAACATAACATAACATGTCCTATGACATGGTGTGCTCTGTGACACAGCATGCCCCATGACATAGCATGCCCTATGAAGCAGCATTCTCACTGATACGTTATGAAGGTGTGCTGTATGACACCATCTGCTCTATAAGACAGAGTGCTCTATGATACTCTGTGATACAACATGCTCTATGACACAGTGTACTCTATACCACCTGGTGACAATGTATTTTATGATGTGTCATACTCTATGATGCTCTGTGACTGTCTGCTCTGCAATGGTGTACTATGTAAGACAACAGGTTCTTTGCACTAAACATTTTCTAAGTAGCAATGGACTTTGTAAGAATGATTTAAAGGTGTAGAATAGAAAGAACATAAATTGCAGTGGGGTCAATTGTTCATCATCATTTTCAAATGTTGCCTATTTGTCATAGCTGCATGCTCTGTGCTTCTTTCTGCTCAGCAGTACAGTGGGTTCACTTACAGAACATCATCATGGATATCTGGACAAGGCATTGCTATACAGCAACTGGCAATAGAGACGCTGGTCATCAGGGGTTCTTTAGTTCCCTTGTAATCTTAGGAGGCCCCCAGTACATACGTGATCCATCATAACACATTATTGTGTGATCACGCAATAGTGACTAGGGCTTGCAAAACTCGAATGTTACTTATTCTTTTACAGAAAAAGCATTTTAGAGACTTTGGCCTAGTCCAGACTTGCTTGAATTCGTGTGTCACCACTTCCAAACACTGAAGAAATCTTAATCATTTCCCTCCTATTCTTTGAGTTATTTTGTTACATGTTCTATAGATACATAGACACACAGATGCACATGATATGTAAAATATATGTTGTAATTAATATATAAACCAAGACCAGAGTCATCTATACTCTTTAGAAAGTCTTACATGCTGTACAGATGCATCCTTGACTTCTCTCTATGTCTCTGTCTCTCTCCACATTCTCTCTACTGGTATGATGTTATTTTTGTTGCTTTAAATAGTCAATATTCTGTCATCTTTGCCCACACATTGACTGAATACTTTTCATTCTCCCTTTTAGTTGTGTGTTCCACAGAGGACTATTTTCCTTCAGTCTAAAGAAGTTCTTTGGAGCCGAGTGGCAGTGGTGAGTTCCTTTAGTCCCAGCACTCAGGAGGCAGAGGCAGGCTTGTGAGCTCGAGGCCAGGCTGATTTACAAAGTGAGTTCCAGCACAGTCAGGGGTACACAGAGACACCCTGTCTCAAAACAGCAGCAGCAGCAGCAGCAGCAGCAACAACAACAACAACAGAAATAAGTTCTGTGGAGCATCTTTTTCTATGGTTCTTGGTGATCAATGACTGCCTTTCGTTTGAGAGACAATAACTTTGAGTTTTAAAGGGCTCGTTCACTGAGTTCTAGGTTGGTAGTTTTCATTCTTCCTCAGTGCACATTTCTCATCTTTCCTTTCTTACATCTTTCATTCCTTCCCTTCCCTTCCCTTCCCTTCCCTTCCCTCCTCTTCTCTCTCTCTCTCTCTCTCTCTCTCTCTCTCTCTCTCTCTTTCTCTCTCCCACATGAAATGTGTTACACAGTTACCTTCTTTTTCCATGAAAAGACCTCAGCCTGTCTCATTCTGTCTCATTGTTGATCATCTGAAGAAGCATATCCTCTCTCCCTAGGTCAGTTTCAGGACAATACTTGCTTTGTTTTTAGACATTTTCCTTTATATTTATCTTTCTTGGTGTTCTCTAGGCAGCATCTCTATGAAGGTCCATTTGGGAAAGCCATAGGCCATCATCCTTTACTTCTTGACTTGTCCTTTGTTCCTTAGCATTTACCTACAGACCATGAAAGCATGTGACTTTGACTTATTGATGGGATATTACTTATTTGCAATGATAGTTGTTCTCCTGCTATGCTAGGGATCCAGGCTGAGAGCCACACCTCTCACATTTGAGGGTGCCCATCAAATCTTTTGAGCTGTTCAACTAAAGTCAATTTGGGGATGATTCCCAAAATGAAGGAAGACAGACTTTGACATTTGATGTTCGTTGCACACAAATGCTGTACTCTTAAACACCCAGTTCTTCCAATAACATCTTAAGCTATATGGACCATGAATTACAAGACATTACTTTTTGGGTATCCACTCTTTTTTTTTTTTTTTTTTTGCAAATTCTCCATTTTGAAATGTGGGTCTCACAATTTTGTATCTCAGGATAAGCTGGAATTGTATTATAGAAGAGGAGCATGCTGCTTAATATTAAATGGAAATTCCCTTTAAAACCCTGGTTCCCCAGCTCTCTGAGACCCCTAGATTTACTTGGCATTGATCTTCGTGTTTGGTGCACCTGTTGTATGAATGGCAGCAGGGTTGGCATCTGGGGACTTCTCTCTCATGAGTGACAGCTCTGCTCTATTTTTGCAGCAGGAGAAGGATGCAGAACTTCCTCTGGAGAAATCGCAGCTCTCTTACTGAGTTTGTTCTTCTAGGATTCTCCAGTGACACGAAGATAAATGGCATTCTGTTCAGTGTCTTTCTTCTCCTCTACCTCATTACCCTTCTAGGCAATGGGCTCATCATCACCTTGATACACATGGATTCCCGCCTCCACACACCCATGTACTTTTTCCTCAGTGTCTTATCCATTCTGGATATGGGCTACGTTACCACCACAGTGCCCCAGATGCTGGTACATCTGGTCTGTGAGAAGAAGACCATCTCCTATATTGGATGTGTGGCTCAGATGTACATCTTTCTGATGCTGGGAATCACTGAATCATGGCTTTTTGCAATCATGGCTTATGATAGGTATGTGGCCATTTGCCATCCTCTCAGATACAAAGTCATCATGAGCCCTTTGCTGCGTGGGTCACTGGTAGCCTTTTGTGGGTTCTGGGGTGTCAGTTGTGCCCTGATATATACTGTTTCAGCTATGATTCTTCCCTACTGTGGCCCCAACGAGATCAACCACTTCTTCTGTGAAGTTCCTGCTGTCCTGAAGTTGGCCTGTGCAGACACATCCCTCAACGACCAGGTGGACTTCATCCTAGGCTTCATCCTTCTCTTGGTCCCTCTCTCCCTCATCATTGTCGTCTACATCAATATCTTTGCTGCCATCTTGAGGATCCGCTCAACTCAAGGGCGGATCAAGGCCTTTTCCACCTGTGCCTCCCACATCACTGTGGTCACCATGTTCTCCATCCCATGTATGATTATGTATATGAGACCTGGCTCTGAGTCCTCCCCGGAAGAGGACAAGAAGCTAGCTCTTTTCTATAATGTCATCTCTGCCTTCCTCAACCCAATCATCTACAGCCTTCGTAATAAAGACGTGAAAAGGGCATTCTTCAAGGTGGTAGGATGCGGCAGTGTGTCAGGATGAAGGCTTAGGAGTTGTGAGACAAATGGCATTCTGGAACACTCGCCATGCAGCTTCCTGCAATAAGAATACCTTTTATAATGATACTGTATTACATCCAGTGACTGACTGTGGTTCAACACCACTAACTTACTGAAGACTTTATTGGGATATTGCCATTGATTATATGTACTCATTTTGGCATGTGGTTATATGGAAACTGATCATACACACAGGTTCATATAACTTGATCAGGGGATAGAACTATTCCATCACCACACAAGGAAACATTATGTATGGTCCCCAACTCTAACCTCTAATCTCTGATATGGATGCCAGATGCAATATGTGTTGTTGGGGGATCTGTTTTTTTTTTTTTTACTCATCTTAATTCCCCTGTGGTCCCTCTAAAGTGCAATGTATAACAGCAGTATGTTTCTATATCTTGTCACAGTTTAGTTTGGGTGCAATAGTGATGGTTTCCATCCTTTGGCTAAGCTTCTAGAATATTCATTGAATATTTTTTATTTTTAATGGTTTTAAAATGACATTTGCTTATTTATTGTGGTGGGGGCAAGTGGCCAGCTTGTGCATGTGGAGACTGAGGGACAGTTTGTGGTAGTCAACTTTCCTTTCTACCATATGGGACTTGAAGATTGAACTCAGGTGGCCAGACTTGGCAGCAGGTGCCTTTGTCTGCTGAGCTCTCGTGTGCAGACTTTTGGAAAAGGTTTGCTTTTTCTTAGGAATAAATACACAGGAATATGATTGTCAGGGCATATGATGCGTGTATACTTCAGCTTTAATACTATTTTAATGAAATCCACAGCTAGATAAACATTTCATATGTACCAGTGTGTCTGTACTTAAACAGATGCATTGGAAGGCTGTGCAACACTGGGGAAACCCACACTTTTGGAAAGAATATAAACCTGTATTACCGCTTTGAAAACAGTCTGCAGTTCCTCCAGTATTCAATGTAGAGGGACACATCTACCAACTTTTCTCTAAGATACATATCTAAGAGAAGTTAAAACATATATGATTATACAGAAATGTACACATTGGGGGCTGGAGAGGTTGCTCAGTGGTTAAGGGCACTGCTGCTCTTCCAGAGGACCAAGATTTGATTCCAGCATCCATGTGGTAATTCAGCCATCTGTAACTCTGGTTCCAGGGGAAATGACCTCTTCTGGCCTTCACAGGCACTGTACACATGTGGAACACAGAAATGCATGCAGGCCAAACACCAATACACATAAAAATATTTTTTTAAAAATGTATATACTTGCCATAGCAACTTTATTCATGACAACTAGAAAGGAAGATCATCAACTCAAAGCCTGTTAGCTGAATGGGTAAATATGGTATATTCACACATGGAATGTATTTTGTATAAAGGGAACAAATAAATTATATATTATATATACATAAATATAATATGTACAATATGTGCTATATATGTATATATTACAGTGCTGATGTTTTGAAATCAATTAAAGAAGCCAGTTGCAAAAATTCAGTCATCTCATTTGTATAAAATAATCCAAAATAGACAAATTCTTAAAGTAGGAGGATTCATGTTGTTGTTGGTCCTAGGGGTATGATGGGAATTATGAATATGGAGTTTCTTTTGAGACAATGAAAATGCTCTAAAATTATATTATGTGAATAGTTATGAAACTGTAAATATAGTAAACTACTAAGTTATATACATGTAATGTATGAGCTTTATAGTGTGAGAATTCTACTAGATATTTTGCTTTTTTAAAAATAGTTTCTTGATGTGATGGCTCATATTAGACATTGAAGAATTTCTTTTGTTAGTGCTATCAAGCTACTTTTCTGAAGAAACAATTATTTCTGTAGCTGACAATCACAGAATGTATATGTTATACTTTTGTTTTCACTCAGCTAAATGTTCTTTTCTTTCCATTGAGGTTTCCTTTTTGACCTATGACATTATAATTGTTTATTATTTTTAACAATTTGTAGCCATGTGCATACTGGAGAAGTGTTCTATCTCTGAGCTAGACCAGTCTGCTATGGGTCATTTAAAATGTAGCACCAAGTCTCTAACAATTAGGAGAACTTCTTATTATCCTTTTCTTGTTGATCTGTGGTTTGATCCTATCATGGTTAGAGAACTTACCTTGGGTGATAGTAGTTATTTTAAGATTTACACTAATATCCCAATGATATGGTGTATCTTGGCAAATAGTTCCATTTACTCTAGGATTAATATATATTTAATCAATTAATTTAAAATTATTTTACTTTTTGTGGAGCCAGGGATCATGATAAATGCTTATGCCAATGTATGTCATGAACTGAATTGTGTCTGCCCATACTAACCCCACCCCAAATTCATACGCTGGGTAGCAATTTTCACTCTCTCTGGATGTAAGCTCATCTATAGACAAAGTATCTTTTTAGACAAAATTTCACCATGTAGTTGAGGATTACTTTTAACTCCTGATATTCTTGTCTCTATCTCCAGAGTGATGGGATTACAAGGCATGTGCCACCATGCCCAGTTTTGTGGAGTTCTGAGGATTGAGCCAAGGGTTTCATTCATGCTAGGCAAATGCCCAGGCTAGCCTCAAACTTACTTATATAGACCGCCTCTGAGCTCTTAATCCTACTTGTACTTCCTCAGTGCTGGGACTAAAGGTGTGTGTCACCAGGCAATGGTGGTACACACCTTTAATCCCAGCACTCAGGAGGCAAAGGCATGCGGATCTCTGTGAGTTCGAGGCCGGCCTGTCTACAGAGTGAGTTCCAGGATAGCCAAAGCTCCTGCAAGGGGGTTGATAGGCAGCAAGGACCTGGGGAAGAACTCAAAGGGTTCATATAACTTAAAACACACCTCTAGTCCTCCCACAGAAGGAGAGCCTCCTCTTCACTAGATGCAGGAGTTTCTGTAGCATCAAGTAAAAGCAAAAGCCAATAAATGTGATGACGCCTAGAAATGCATCTTAAGAACAGTGAAACCCATGGGAATCATTTGTGTTTATAAAGATCCTGTACAGAGTGACGAGAGTGTGGGAAGGAAGGTCCTTCAATTCATGAAACAACTGATTTCAAACTTTCCAGCGGGTCCCTTTCTCTCCTCAGACCCAGGACAATACTACATCTTCTACTTTCCCTCACTTCTCTGACCCTTGTGTGGACAGAGTCTTTCTTTCCTCTGACATCAAGACAGGCTGTAATTTTTCAGAATGGACTTTATTTAAACAAAGAGCAATGAGAAGAAAAGAGGTAGACATTTTTTTTTCAAAAGCACAGAGATGCCTAGCAGTAGCCCTTTCTCCATAACACCCAGAGATGCTCGAGGGGGCAGACCCAGGTTTGCTTCTTGGCAGTCTCTGAGTTTCTGCTTCTGACATTTTCCTCTCTTTTTCTTTTACTCTCCAGCCACTTTCAGAGCCCAAGAGGTTGATAAAAGGTGGTTCATTGCTCAATAATGAATATAAAAAATTAAATATAAGGGTCTGGAGAGGTGGCTCAGTGGTTAAGAGCACTGACTGCTCTTGAGAGGACTTGAATTTGATTCCCAGTACCCACATGGTAATCCCCAACCATCTGTAATTCCAGTTCCAGGGGAATAGGTGCTTTCTCTGGCCTCCATGGAAACTGCATGCATACATACATATACATACATGCAGGCAAAGCACCCCAACACAAATATAATAAAATAAGAATTTAAAAAGAAGTGTTGAAAAAATAATAACACTTGCTGAGAAAAACTAAAATATGGCCAGGTGTTGGTGGCGCACCCCTTTAATCCCAGCTTTCGGGAAGCAGAGGCAGGCGATCTCTGTGAGTTTGAGTCTAGCCTGGTTTATAGAGCTAGTTCCAGGACAGGCTCCAAAGCAATACAGAGAAACCCTGTCTTGAAAAACAAACAAACAAAACAAAAAGAAACTAAAATATGCCAGGCTCTATAGCAGATAATTGCATATATTGCCTCATGTGATCTTTGCAATCTCCCTGTGAGGAAGAATTAGAAAACTCACAGTAGTTAAGTGACTTGCAAAATTCACATACTTAGGAACTGGTGAAGCTTTATTAGTCACTTTTGTTGTTACTGTGACCTGATATCTGACAAGAGGCCTCTTAAGGGAAGAAGGGTTTGTTGGGGCTCACATTTTGAAGGGGCATAGTCCATCATGGTGGGGAAGGCATGTGGCAGGTGGCTTCATGAAGGTGACGGTATACGGCTGGCATTACTCATCTCCCAATGTCTTGGTGGTATAGGATGTGAGACCATGTCATAAAACCCACTGGCCCACTTTCTCTAGCTAAGCTTCATCTCCTAAAGATTCCACAGCCTTTGCAAATGTTGCTACCATCTGGGGACAAAGTATTTAAATACATGAGTCTATGAGAGACAGTTCACATTCAAACTCCAACACTAATTCTCTAGCCCTGTTCTTCCTGGCAGCAAAGTTCAGGTCCTTGACCCCTGGACACTTCCATCTGTCTCAGGGAGCATCACTCACTGTGGATATCTGAGTCCCCTGTCCCTCCCTGACACAAAGGATAAGGAGCTATCTTTACGGAGTCTGGATCTTGCACATCCCTGGGAAGGCAGTGACTGCAAGCTCTACTTTGTTCAGCTCTCTGGGTATTTAGCTTTCAAGCTTCACTCTGGAGCCCCACTCCATCCCAGAAGTTTGAGGAAAGCCCTTTTCACATCCTTGTTCCTTAGACTATAGATGACAGGGTTGAGAAAGGCTGTGGCAATGTTATAGAAGAGGGCCATTTTCTTGCCACTGTTTGATAAGGAGCCAGAGCTGGGACTCATGTACATGATGATACACGGAATGGCGAACATGGTGACCACAGTGATATGGGAAGCACAGGTGGAAAAGGCCTTGATCCTCCCCTGGGTTGAGCGGATCTTCATGATGGTGGTGAAGATGTTGGCATAGACAATGACAATGAGGGAGAGAGGGACCACAATGACGTTGAAACCTGTGATGAAGTCCACCAAGTCATTAAGGGATGTGTCTGCACAG